TATATATATATATATATATATATATATATATATATATATATATATATATATATATATACTGTATAAACTACTAATTATCTTGTACCTGTGCTTGTTGTGTTGTTTCTTAATTAATTACTGCCAATATATTTTTCTCCTCCAAGTCATTCTATTCTACGTAGCATGGTAGCGTGGAGGAGAAGGATGGTGGAGGAGGAGGATGGTGTGGAAGAGAAGGATGGTGGAAGAGGAGGATGGTGTGGAAGAGAAGGATGGTGAAGAGGAGGATGGTGTGGAAGAGAAGGATGGTGTGGAAGAGAAGGATGGTGTGGAAGAGGAGGATGGGTGGAAGAGGAGGATGGTGTGGAAGAGAAGGATGGTGGAAGAGGAGGATGGTGTGGAAGAGGAGGATGGTGTGGAAGAGGAGGATGGTGTGGAAGAGAAGGATGGTGGAAGAGGAGGAGGAAGGATGATAATGTGAAATAAAAACATCAGTAAAGAAGAGACAAATACACACCTAACGGACATGACACACCTTGTATAGCTATGAGGAACATACACACAGGTGAGGGAGGGAGAGAAGGTAGTACAGTATCTATTCCTTCACCGCTCCATACACTCACAACAACAACAACGAATATAAATTGTCCCCGCCCAGCCACACCCTCTATTACTGCACACACACACACACACACACACACACACACACACACACACACACACACACACACACACACACACAGTCAGGGCCAATGAACGGGTAGAGGTTAGGGAGGACGTACATACAATAGGCTCCTTCCAAGACATGCAAGATCTCCGATAAGACCAAAATGCAAACACATGACCGTGTGTGTGTGTGTGTGTGTGTGTGTGTGTGTGTGTAATCAATACGGGTGGTGGTGGTGGTGGAGAAGACCAGTCGCCAGGCTTATCAGGCTGGCCAACACATCCCAGACATTCTGCCGCCCCTGGTATGACATTCTGCCTGCCTGCCACCCCTAGTATAGTATTCAGTCTGCCTGCCTCCCACCCGTAGTATAACATTCAGTCTGCCTGCCTCCCACCCCTAGTTAACATTCAGTCTGCCTGCCTGCCTGCCACCCCCCAGTATAGCATTCAGTCTGCCTGCCTCCCACCCCTTGCATAACATTCAGTCTGCCTGCCTGCCTGCCACCCCCCAGTATAGCATCCAGTCTTCCTGCCTGCCTGCCACCCCTTAGTATAGCATTCAGTCTGCCTGCCTGCCACCCCTAGTATAGCATTCAGTCTGCCTGCCTGCCACCCCAGCATAGCATTCAGTCTGCCTGCCTGCCACCCCCCAGTATAGCATTCAGTCTGGCCGCCTGCCTGCCACCCCCAGATATAGCATTCCAGCCCGCCTGCCTGCCACCCCCAGTATAGCATCTCAGTCTGCCTGCCCACACCCATAGTATAGCATTCAGTCTGCCTGCCTGCCACCCCTAGTATAGCATTCAGTCTGCCTGCCACCCCTAGGATAGCATTCAATCTGCCTGCCACCCCTACTATAGCATCTCAGTCTGCCTGCCTGCCACCTCAGTATAGCATTCAGTCTGCCTCCCACCCCTAGATAGCATTTAATCTGCCTGCCACCCCTAGTAGAGCATTCAGAGTGCCTGCCTGCCACCCCTAGCATAGCATTCAGTCTGCCTGCCTGCCACCCCTAGTATGGGCAGTCTGCCTGCCACCCCAGTACAGCATTCAGTCTGCCTGCCTGCCACCCCTAGTATAGCATTCAGTCTGCCTGCCACCCCCAGCACAGCATTCAGTCTGCCTGCCTGCCACCCCTAGTATAGCATTCAGTCTGCCCTGCCACCCCCAGTACAGCATTCAGCCTGCCTGCCACCCCTAGTATAGCATTCAGTTCCTGCCTGCCACCCCAGCACAGCATTCAGTCTGCCTGCCTGCCACCCCCAGTATGGCATTCAGCTCTGCCTGCCACCCCCAGTACACAGCATTCAGTCTGCCTGCCTGCCACCCCTAGTACATTCAGTCTGCTGCCTGCCACCCCTAGTATAGCATTCAGTCTACCTGCCCTCATCATCCCACACTGTCTGCCACCCACACCCAAGCACACTAGGTAAAGGCGTGAGTCAGTACACCATCACATAATGTTTGCCGGCAGTCAAGTCATCTGGAAGGGGGGATATCACCTCAGCAGCTGGTGGTGATAGAATGTATTACCTGCCTGCCACCTGCCAGTCACCACTCTTATAAACCTCGTCATCAGTTATAGTCGAGTCAGTTAGCTCTATACACACCTTCCTGGCTGACTGTCTCAAAATTTATGGTAAGAGTTTGGGGCGTAATTTTGATGCTGTAGGTAAGGGTGAGGTTGGTGGGTGGGTGGGGTGGGGTGGGGTGGGGTGGGGTGGGTGGGTGGGTAGGGTGGGTAGGGTAGAGTGGGGTTGATAGGAGGTGTGCTTCCTCACCTCCTTATAACACCCCTCTCTCTCATCCCTCCTCACCATCCCTACTTTTACCCTCTTCTAGTCTACTTCTCCCAGTCTCTCCCCTCTCTTCTTCTACAATTCTCCTACTTCTCTCCTTCCTATTTTGTTGTGTCTCTTCTATCTCCTTTCTTTGTCTTATATTCACTTAACACGTCCCTCTCCTCTCTACTCCTACTACTATTACTACGACTTTTTTCATATCATGGCCTTCAGCCTCCCCAATAGCCACACCTTCGCCGCCATTTTATTACCTTAAAATTAAATATCCTAATACAGTGTTTTTCAAACTCTTTTCACGACCCACAGCCAGAACAACAATTTGAATTGCGACCCATTAAACCTAAGTGTAATGATATGAAATGAGTAAATCAAAGACAAACACTGTTAGGTTAAGTTAGGTTAGCTTAGGTTAGATTACGGGGAAAACTACGATTACGAGTTTTCTGCGCAAAACGGATGACATGAGAGGTAAAGAAAGAATCAAGAAATGCTCTCCTTGCAGTCGCTTCCTAGACTGTGGAGTGTACATTACAATAACCAAGCCTAAATTATGGTGCATTTATTTTTATTTTCTTATTTATTTTCGCGACCCATTTTATTTATTTTTCTTATTTATTTTCGCGACCCATTTTATTTTGCGCCCAATTTATTTATTTCGCGACCCACTGAAGGGTCGGGACCCATAGTTTGAAAACCCCTGTCCTAATACATAAGTAACTATCCTAGCTGCTATACTACTACTATTACTATTACTGCTACTACAATTACTACTACTACCACAACAACAAAACAACAACAACAACAACAACAACAACAACAACAACAACTACTACTACTACTACTACTACTACTACAACAATTACTACTACTACACACTCCTTCACCTCACTCATCACCACCCAATTAAACCACAGGTATATAACTGGTACTGAGTTACCCCATTAGTGCAGAGCCAGATTAGTCGGTCCCTCACGAGGCGGGTAGGTAGACGGTACAAGTGGGGGAATGACGGTACAAGTGGGGGGGTAAATGACGGTACAAGGGGGAGTGGGCAGAGATGAGAAGACAGAGGTATGTTCTGTCGACTGTGTTGTGTTGGATGGTTGAAAAAAATACAGCTAAAAATAGTTAGAGACTCCTTGTTATATGAAAAAAAGAGAGAGTATATCCCTAGGTGACGAAACAAGGCGGCCTACCTCACTCACTCCCTCGGTGTGTGGTGTCAAGTCGATAGAGCGGTGACCCCCCCATCACTCACTGAAGGACAATCAACTGACATAATGAACACAACACTACACCTACAGCAGCTACTGGGGCAGGAAACACCAGGTCACCATACTTACCTCCTCTCCCTCCTCTGTTTCCTTCCCTTCCCTCCCTCCTATTCCTTCCTCCTCCCTCCCTCCCTCTCCCTCTTCTAATTCGTTTCTCCTCTCACTTTCTCTCTCCTCTCCGTCTCCCTCCTCTATTCCTTCTCAGCAGCCCCACACTACCTCCTCCTTCCCTCCCCTTCTCACCCACTTGATCCTACCTGACCGTCTTTCTCCTCTCCCTTCTTCCCGGCTTATTCTCCCCTCTCTTCTCCCTTCTTCCAGGCTACACTTCCCCTCCCTCCAGCTTACCATCTCCTTTTGTCTCTCTCCCCAATTCCTCCCCGACCCCCCTCCTAAACCGCCCCCTCTCTTCAACCCATCACCATAAAACATCCTTCTTCCCCTCACCCCTAAACCACCCCCTTAAATCACCCCATTCCCCCCTCTCACCCTTAAACCACCCCATCCTCTCTCCCCTCACCTCTAAACCACGCCCTTAAACCAACCATCCCCTCCCCCCCAAGCTGATGATCTCATTCCCCGCTCCAGACGTCAACAACACCATTAACCACAACAACAAAGGCACCACACCATCTACATAATCCATTACGCATAGTACCTATTTAAGCTACTGCTCCCCTCACCATGTGGTTCATTTGCATACAGACTTTGATTACGATAACAGATGCGGGTTTTTTCCGGTGTGTCTCTGGATACGGTACCTGGGATGACTTTACACACAGACAGACAGACAGATGGAGACAGAGCTACCAGGATTTTTCTATATCCTCAGGCCTAATTCACTAAAGGGGATAATAATTCCCTCAACACACTGAAGTGAGGTACTGATGATTTGAGGTACTGATGTTGCGAGTACTGATGTTGCGAGGTACTGATGATGCGAGGTACTGATGATGCGAGGTACTGATGATGATGTGAAGTACTGATGATGCGAGGTACTGATGATGCGAGGTACTGGAGATGCGAGGTACTGGAGATGCGAGTACTGATGATGTAGTACTGATGATGATGTGATGCTGATGATGCGAGGTACTGATGATGCGGTACTGAAGATGCGAGTACTGGAGATGCGAGGTACTGATGATGATGTGAGTGCGTGATTGAGTGGAGATGCGAGGTACTGGAGATGCGAGGTACTGGAGATGCGAGTACTGATGATTTGAGGTACTGATGTTGCGAGGTGCTGATGATGCGGTACTGATGATGCGGGTACTGATTATGCGAGGTACTGATGATGCGAGGTACTGGAGATGCGGGTACTGGAGATGCAGTACTGGAGATGCAGTACTGATGATGTGAGGTACTGATGATGTGAGGTACTGATGATGATGTGAGGTACTGATGATGCGAGTACTGATGATGCGAGGTACTGGAGATGCGAGTACTGGAGTGCGAGGTACTGATGATGCGAGGTACTGATGATGATGTGAGGTACTGATGATGCGAGGTACTGGAGATGCGGGTACTGGAGATGCGAGGTACTGATGATGATGTGAGGTACTGATGATTTGAGGTACTGATGTTGCGGTACTGATGATGCGAGGTACTGATGATGCGAGTACTGATGATGATGTAGTACTGATGATGATGTGAGTACTGATGATGATGTGGGTACTGATGATCGCGAGGTACTGGAATCGAGGTACTGGAGATGCGAGTACTGATGATGATGTAGGCACTGATGATTTGAGGTACTGATGTTGCGGTACTGATGATGCGAGGTACTGATGATGCGAGGTACTGATGATGTGAGGTACTGATGATGATGAGGTACTGATGATGCGAGGTACTGATGATGCGAGGTACTGATGATGCGAGGTACTGATGATGATGTAAGGTACTGATGGCGCAAGGTACTAATGACGTGAAGTGTCATAGGCTCGAGGGTGTCATAAGACTCGTGGGTGTCATAAGACTCGTGGGTGTCATAAGACTCGTGGGTGTCATAAGAATCGTCGGTGTCATAAAACTCGTGGGTGTCATAAAACTCGTGGGTGTCATAAAACTCGTGGGTGTCGTAAAACTCGTGGGTGTCGTAAAACTCGTGGGTGTCATAAGACTCGTGGGTGTCATAAGAATCATTGGTGTCATAAAACTCGTGGGTGTCATAAAACTCGTGGGTGTCATAAAACTCGTGGGTGTCGTAAAACTCGTGGGTGTCGTAAAACTCGTGGGTGTCGGCAAAACTCGTGGGTGTCATAAAACTCGTGGGTGTCATAAAACTCGTGGTGTCCGTAAAACTCGTGGGTGTCATAACATAAAACTCGTAGGTGTCGTAAAACTCGTTTGGTGTCATAAAACTCGTGGGTGTCATAAAACTCGTAGGTGTCGTAAAACTCGTGGGTGTCGTAAAACTCGTGGTGTCGTAAAACTCGTGGGTGTCGTAAAACTCGTGGGTGTCGTAAAACTCGTGGGTGTCGTAAAACTCGTAGGTGTTCGTAAAACTCGTGGGTGTACGTAAAACTCGTGGGTGTCGTAAAACTCGTGGGTGTCGTAAAACTCGTGGGTGTCGTAAAACTCGTGGGTGTCGTAAAACTCGTGGTGTCGTAAAACTCGTGGGCGTCGTAAAAACTCGTGGGTGTCGTAAAACTCGTGGGTGTCGTAAAACTCGTGGGTGTCGTAAAACTCGTGGGTGTCGTAAAACTCGTGGAGTGTCGTAAAACTCGTAGGTGTCGAAAACTAGTGGGTGTCGTAAAACTCGTGGGTGTCGTAAAACTCGTGGGTGTCGTAAAACTCGTGGGTGTCGTATAAACTACAAAGGGTGTCATCAAAACTCGTGGGTGTCGTAAACTCGTGGGTGTCGTAAAACTCGTGGTGTGGTAAACCGGTGTCAATAAACTCGGTGTCGTAAAACTCGTGGTGGTAAAACTCGTGGTGTCATAAACTCGTGGGTGTCAAACCAAATGTTAAAACCGTGGTGTCATAAACTCGTGTCGTAAACTCAGTGGAAGTGTCAAACCCGGGTGTCGTAAACCCGTGGTGCCAAACCGTGGTGTCGTAAACCCGCGTAAACTCGGTGTCAAACTCGGTGTCGTAAACTCGTGGTGTCGTAAACTCGTGGTGTCAAACTCGGTGTCAAACGAGTCAAAACTGGGTGTCGTAAACTCGTGGGTGTCGTAAACCTCGTAAACCGGTGTCAAACTCGTGGTGTAAACTCGTGGTGTCGTAAACCCGGGGTCAAATCGGGTGTCGTAAACCTGTGGTGTCAAACCGGTGTCGTAAAACTCGTGGGTGTCGAAAACCGTGGATGTCAAATCAGGTGTCGTAAACTCAGAGGTGTCGTAAACTCGTCACAAAACTCGTGGTGTCGTAAACCTGGGTGTCGTAAACTCGGCACAGTAAACCGTGGGTGTCGTAAACCCGTGGGTGTCGTAAACCGTGGGCTGGCAAACTCGTGGTACAGAACCTGGTGTCGTAAACCGTGGGTGTCGTAAAATTGGAAGTCGTAAACTCTGGTGTGTAAATCAGGTGTCGTAAACTCGTGGTGTCGTAAAACTGTGGTGTCGTAAACTCGGTGTCAAACCCGGGTGTCGTAAAACTGTGGGTGTCGTAAACTCGTGGGTGTCAACCTGTAAAACCCGTGGGTGTCGTAAAACTCGTGGGTGTCAAACTCGTGGGCGTAAAACCCGTGGTGTCAAACTCGTGGGCGTCAAACCCGGTGTCAAACTCGTGCAAACCGTGTCAAAACCGGGGTGTCGTGTAAAACCTGTGGTGCGAAACCCGGTACAAACCGGGTGTCGTAAACTCGTACCGTGGTGTCGTAAAACCCGGTCAGGTGTCAAACTCGGTGTCAAACTCGTGGTGTCGTAAACTCGTGGTGTCGTAAACTCGGGGTGTCAAACCTGGTGTCGTAAACCGGGTGTCAACCCGTGGGTGTCGTAAACTCGTGGTGTCAAACTCAGTGTCAAATCACAAACCCGTGGGTGTCAAACCTGTGGGTGTCGTAAACTCGTGGTGTCATAAACTCGTGGCGTAAAACTCGTGGGTGTCAAACCCGGGTGTCGTAAAACTCGTGGTGCCGCAGTGGTGTAAAACCCGTGGGTGTCGTAAACTCGTGGTGTCAAACCCGTGGTGTCGTAAACTGTGGTGTCGTAAACTCAACCCGGTGTCGTAAACTCGTGGGTGTCGTAAAACTGTGGTGTCGAACTCGTGGTGTCGTAAACCGGGTGTCGTAAACCTGTGGTGTCAAACCCGGGTGTCGTAAACTCGTGGGTCGAAACCTGGGGTGTCGTAAACCTGTACAAACCTGTGGGTACAAACCGTGGGTGTCGTAAACTGTCGTAAACTCGTAGAAAGGTGTCAAACTCTGTCAAACCCGTGGGTGTCGTAAACTCGTGGGTGCCGTAAACCTGTGGGTGTCGAAAGTCAGTAAACTCAGAGGTCATAAACCTGGGTGTCGAACTCGTGGGTGTCGTAAACTCGTGGTGTCGTAAACCCTAAGTAAACTGTGGGGTCGTAAACGTAGAGGGAGGACAGTGTGGTGGCGCTATATGGACGGACACAAAGAGACTAAGAAGTATCATCAGGAGCGTGTGGAGGAAAGTCTCTGACGCCGGTTTTAAAATATTGATAATCTGAAGGGTAACACACACACACACAAAGTCAGACTGATAAGCAAAAGACAAACAGACGGACGGACGGACGAACAGACATAGACAGACAGACAGAGGACACACACACAAAAGACAGACGAACGGACGAAACAAACACACACTATAACTCCACGCCAGCCACAGAGAAGTCCACGGTCACACCCACCCAGGTTTGACTAACAAGTTTAAAACGACCTAAACTGAAGCTACTCTCTCCATGTTTATAATTAAATAACCTGTAAAATAATATAAAACAAATACTTATAACTACAGCCAATAATAAGCAGAAATTGTCTCAATTGGAAAAAAAAAAACAAAAACAAACAAACAAAATCAAAATCAATGACTAATTACATTTTACTGAAGGAAAAATATGAGCGAACAGAATGAATGCTTCCACAAAACGCGTCCCTTGTGAGTAAGAGATAATTTTAGCATCAGCAACGATCAATATCACAAGTCATGAGAGAGAGAGAGAGAGAGAGAGAGAGAGAGAGAGAGAGAGAGAGAGAGAGAGAGAGAGAGAGAGAGAGAGAGAGAGAGAGAGATACGCATAGTCCAAGTTGTCATGTCCTTCCACCGCCTCTCGCCCCTTCCTCTATCTGTACCCTATGACGCCCCTTACTCTGGGGATAAATGGGCACTGAGAATATTGCCCTGGAGGAGGGAGGGGGGTGGGTGAGTGAGTGGAGGAGTGAGTTGAGGAGTTGAGTGAGTGTGGGAGTTGGAGGAGGAGTGGGGAGGAGTTGAGTTGAGGAGGAGGAGGAGTGGAGGAGGAGGAGTGGTGGAGGAGCTGGAGTTGAGTAAGGAGTGAGTGTTGGAGTTGGAGTGAGAGTGAGCGTGGAGTTGAGGAGGAGTGGAGTTGAGGAGTTGAGTTGAGGAGGGAGTGAGTGAGAGAGGAGTTGAGTTGGAGTGAGGAGTGAGGTGGGAGTTGGGAGGAGGAGTGAGTGTGGGAGTTGGAGAGGAGGAGGAGTGTGGAGTTGAGTGAGTTGAGCTGAGGAGCCATAGCTGCTGCCACAACACAAGTGCTGCTCCTCAACAACCTGACCAACACCACCAACCGGAGCCCTGCTGTGTGATGGTGACACCTGCAGTATCCCAGCAACTGTCGCCCCTGCCTTCCTCCTCTCTCTCTCTTCTTCTTCTTCTTCCTCCACTGCCCTCATCTCCCTCTCTCTCTTCCAGTCTCCCTCTCCCTTCTTCTTCCTCTCCCCCTCTCCTCCTCCTCTCGCTTTCTCTCACCCACCTTCCCTTCACCTCTCCCTTCTTTTCCACGTCTTCCTCTCTCCCCTTTCTCCCTACCTTCTTCATTGCCTCTTCTTCCCCTTCACACCCTCCTTCTTTCCTCCTCCCCATCCTCCTATTCACCTCCCCCATCACCCTGTTTTCACTCTCTCCTTCGTCTTAGCGATCCTCCTCCCCCGTCCCTCGTCTTCTCTTCTTCCTCTCCTCTCATTCGCCATCTTCTCTCCTTCCTTGTTTCCTTCTACTCTCCTTCCATCTCCCTCCGTCTTCTCATCCTGTTCCCATTATTCCCCGTCTTTTTGTCTTCCCTCACCTCATCCAATTCCACCTCTCATTTCTTTACCTCCCACTTCCACCCCACCTTTCCCTCCATTCCTTTCCCCCCCCATTCCACCTTCCGTCGCCTAAAAGGTCCATAACACAGGGGGTATAGACCACACCGATATATCGGTGACCATGCAGTCCTTCCAGTCCTCCTTAAAGAGCTTCTGCCCGCCTGCCCGCCCGCCTGCACGGCACACACACACACACACACACACACACACACACACACACACACACACACACACACACACACACACACACACACACACACACACACACACACACACACACACACACACACACACACACACACACACACACACACACACACACACACACACACACACACACACACACACACACACACACACACACACACACACACACACACACACACACACACACACACACACACACACACACACACACACACACACACACACACACACACACACACACACACACACACACACACACACACACACACACACACACACACACACACACACACACACACACACACACACACACACACACACACACACACACACACACACACACACACACACACACACACACACACACACACACACACACACACACACACACACACACACACACACACACACACACACACACACACACACACACACACACACACACACACACACACACACACACACACACACACACACACACACACACACACACACACACACACACACACACACACACACACACACACACACACACCATGCATATATACTGTATATACTGTATACGTGTGTGTGTGTGAAAAGGAGAATAAAAGGTGGGACAGAGAGGTAAAGCAGCTCCGTGTAAAGGAGGAAGAAGGAGAAACAAAGAAGAAAAAAAGGGGTGATAAAGAAGACACAAGGAGGGGGGAATATCCAGTAAGAAAGGCTAAAATGGAGGGAAATGGATACAAGGAGGAAAATGGATAGAATGATGGGAAAAAGATAGAAGGAAAGGAAAAAGGATAGGAGGAAGGAAAAGGAGAAGGAAGGAAAATGGATAAGGCAGGAAAAGTGATAAGAAGGCAAATGGCCTGATAGAAAAATTGATAGAAGGAAAGAAAAATGATAGATGAAGGAAAATGGATAATGAAGGGAAA